TTGTCACAAACTTAACCTGTAACAAATACAGAACTGATGTTAGGGTGCCAGACCTTTGTCACAAACTTAACCTGTAACAAATACAGAACTGATGTTAGGGTGCCAGACCTTTGTCACAAACTTAACCTGTAACAAATACAGAACTGATGTTAGGGTGCCAGACCTTTGTCACAAACAAAGTATTTTTTTCACTATAGCTTTAAACCATTAAAACTTGTATCTTTTTATTAAGAAGTTCAGTAAGAAACCAATAATCAAAGGTTTTATAAATATTTGCCAAAACTAAGTCATCAATTAAAAAAAACCCCACAGAAAGGAATAAATTAAATCTAACAGTTTGTGACATAAAAAAAATCAAACTTATAGCAAACACAAACTACAGATAAACTATAACCAATAAATCCAATTTTTATATTAAAATCAAACAAAACTATTCAGTAAGATCTCATCACAGCAGACAATAAAAAATGCTCATTAAAAAATAACGATGAATGACAATAAGCTACTTATGTTTTACAAGAAACTCCAGCTGCAAAATATGAATACTCAGTCATCATCAAGGAAAAAAAACTATACAAGAGGTATGTCAAATATTGTTTAAAAGTTAGCCAGCAAAGAACAGTTGAAATTTGTTGTAATAGACAACTTGTCTGGTCAAGTGGTCAGTAAATGACATTTTTATTCAAGTACAGTAAGATCAAAATCAAATGATTGATTGTATGTAGAGAAATGACTAATTCCAAATCTACCAGATCTTCTCAAAAGCCTACTTTATGCTGACTTAACATACAGGAGGGAATAGACGACACCAAAATCAACAAGTCTTTGTATGTTAACCCCAACTTAAAGTTCAACAAGCCTCTAATAAAACACTAAGATGAACAAACCCTGTAAGTTAAACATTATACCACAATGAAAAAGACTCCATACATTAAACAAAAAAAACTCTGTAAGTTAAACATTACATCAAAATAAACAAAACTCTGTAAGTTAAACATTATACCACAATGAAAAAGACTCCATACATTAAACAAAAAAAAACTCTGTAAGTTAAACATTACATCAAAATAAACAAAACTCTGTAAGTTAAACATTACATCAAAATATACAAACCCTGTAAGTTAAACATTATACCACAATGAAAAAGACTATCACTTAAACACAACAAAACTATAAATAAGCCTCTGTAAATTAAACATGACATAAGGATCAACAAGGCTCTGAATACAATTCAAATGAGACTTTCTGAGCTGTCAAAGATCATCCTGAGCCAAAAAGTAACATACCTAGTAAAGAAAAAACTGTATAAATGTGTATGAAAAGTGGAAGGCTATCAAAGTGAAAGCACTATTTGTGAACTTCATCCTCAAACAAGCAGTTTTAAAGGACGAAGATTTCATGCAGAGAATGTAACAGATTTATCCAGACCAACATGGTGTGACAGTTACTGTTTGGTACTTTATTAATATCAGGTTTCAAAGACCGAAATATTGTTTTGATAATGTAACAATATTACCTTTATATTATTTGAGACAGTTCTTTAATATTTATTATCTTTCTTGAAACCTCTATAATGTCAGTTGTTACAGTTGATCAGGTGATCTTTATTGCCAGATTGTAGGATATTGGTGTACCTTCAGGTGATCTTTATTGCCAGATTGTTTAATATTTGTGGAAATACATTTTTATTACATTAGGTAAAGTAAAGGCAAACTATAAATATGTGATGTATCTAACAAATTTTTAAATATAAAACATTTATTGAAATGTTATCCTCTCTGGAAAATATACCACTTGTTTGATATTTGTGGAAGTGTTACTTTTACTGTTTGGTAATTTATTAATATCAGGTTTCAAAGACAGAAATATTGTTTTGATAATGTAACAATATTACCTTTATATTATTTGAGACAGTTCTTTAATATTTATTATCTTTCTTGAAACCTCTATAATGTCAGTTGTTACAGTTGATTAATTAGGTTTATCTGATATAGATTTTATTTTTACATTTTTATTAAATTAGGTAAAGTAAAGGCAAACTATAAATATGTGATGTATCTAACAAATTTTTAAATATAAAACATTTATTGAAATGTTATCCTCTCTGGAAAATATACCAACTAGATCGAAGTAATTAGGTTTATCTGATATAGATTTTATTTTCTTCGATCTAGTTGGATTTCTTAAAAATCAAACCTTTGGAGGATTAAATGGATATGTCTCAGGAATTTTTATTTCCAAAACAAAATTCCCCCCTTCATATGGAGTATCTGGAGGTCCAGATATTTCTCCTCGTAGTTCCGTGTAATTGTCATTGACGAGCTCGACCTTGATGGCACATTTTGCTACCTAAGAAAGAGCAGTTAAAAATTTATATAAATTATTGACCATTTCTAGAACTCTTAATATCTCTTCTACGTGCCCAACACATAAATGAGATATTCGTACAACACCAATTTATCTGAACATAACTTAAAGGATTTATTTTATATTAACAAAGGGCCATTTAGCCAATCAGGTCAACCCTCATCCATCCAATCAAGAAACCAAAAATTAGAATTACATTACACGTTAGATTTGCTATTCTAATACATATTAAAGAAAATTTTAAAAGAATTCAAACATCGTACATCAGTAGGATAGTCATTTCAAAAGGCTATCTCTCTCTCAATGTATAAAAACATTGTCACAAAATTTTTTCATCTGGATTTCCAAATCTTGAACCTATTTCTCCTAATATTCACATTTGAAATTCCAATTTTCTCATCAAACAAGCCACCCACAAGAAGACTGTTCAAATCACTAATATATTTGAGTACCTGTAAAAAAACATATTAAATCAGGTCATCTCTAATTTTTTTATGCTTCAGACAAAACAGTTCCAAATATTTAAGCCTCAAGTTAAAATATTTAAACCAGTAGTACCCTCTCTTAGCTATCTTTCCTAAGATCAAAAATCCTTCCTGAAGCAAAAGAATTGGAATGTGGAAGAATTGTGCAGTTTTTAATTTAGGAAAAACCTTCTTATACACAGTTACGACAACTTTCAGTTTCAAAAGTGCTATAAATCTAATCAATAAGTGTTTGCTCTTCACTACACAAGTCTTTATCAACACCAGTGCTCTTCTTACATAAGAAATTGTTACTAAATTTACATACTTCTCAATAATGCAACGAAAAGTTATCTAGACTAAAGTCTCTGGCAAATAAATTCACAAAAAGTACAATTTTATTACAAACAAGTACCATTTGTGCATTGTTCTAATTATAAGAATATATATATATATATTTTAATTAATTTACACTTGTCATAAGATATTAAACCTATCATATTCTTTATCTAGTCCCTTAGGGATTTTGAAAACTAGAAGAGTGTATAAATATAAAAATAGTATTTCAACCATACTATGTTTACCATTTTAATGTTTTTCAATATAATAGTTTATAAATTCTTCGATTTATCAGCACTGACGCTAAACTTTTGTACTCTAAAATTTATCTTTCAGTTTCATCTCTATTATCAAGTGTATTAATAATTCTGTAAAAATGACCAATAGCACTTCCCCATAAAAGTGATAGTTACTACTATCTTTTTAAAGAACAATAAACCAGTCAAATATATCATTGTTTATTTGCTTAATTGTTATATAAATTTTATACTACAGTAACCCTAACTAAATTACATTTTTAACTTATGTAATTATAAATGGCATATAATACTTTAAAATTAAATTTAAATTAAAATAAGTCATAATACCAACAAATTTTGTGACAATAAATATTTGAACAGGTGCTTTTGCTTTTAGAAAATTCTATAACTAAAAAACGTAAATAATGATTTTCAATTTTATGCCAGCTTACTTAGTTTATTTTTGACAAACACTAAAATAATTTTTTTTTTTAAAGTAAAACGTTACACTTAGAAGTTACATACAGCACACATACTGTTGGCATGACCCAAAAGTTACAGCCACTGATTATGTAAACTAAACTGTCCTAGGGTGATTCGGACTTTATCGAACACTATCTCAGAAATTAGAATTTGGACAATTAACGATTCTTTTGATTCGAATTATTACCCTTGAGTTAAAAATTAAATCTCACCTCTTCACTTCTAACAACTTCCTTGAATTCACGTTTAATTCGCTGTACTGCTATATTTGCCATTACTTTTTATCTCATAGATATGGTAAAATTTCACTCGGTCAACATCCATAAAAAAAAATTACCTCACTGTCACCCTCTAGTGTTCGAAAACTTTTTTGTTTTTTATTTATTTTAACGAATAAATATCTATTACGAGGCTTTGTTTGTTTGTTTGTAATTAAGCACAAAGCTACACAATGGGCTATCTGTGCTCTGCCCATCACGGGTATCGAAAACCGGATTCTAGTGTTGTTAGTTCTCAGACATCCCGCTGTGCCACTGGGGGGGGCTTATTACGAGGCAGTAAAATTTGTAAGAAAAAAACCACGATAAACGTTTCTTGTTTTTGTTTTCTTAATGATATATGTTATCTACAGGTATACCACGATTTCCATACGATGTAAAATTAATCACCTATATAAATAATACAAATTAATAAATTAAAGGTTTGTTATCTGAATATGACATAGGTTTCTATCTTCTTGTTAGTATTATCGCATTTATTCTGAATTCATGCTTTATTATGAATATGTGCAAGATGGTCATAAAATGTGGCAGAGAAAACCGTTAGGTTAGTCTTGTTCAAACTTACTCTTGTTCCTTCATTGTTCTCGAAGTAGGTAATAACTGTTACTGCGCAGGAAGAATATTGCTTAACTAGCTGGAGCACCCGTCCCCTGAACGGAAGTTATATAAATTCATGATTAATGAAAGGTTATATTAGGACATGAAAAGTTGCTTCCCTTATACGTAATTGTAAAAACCGCAAAAATTCCCATATAAATTGTAGAACACAAAATGTAAAACCACAAATTTGCACGCATCTCCGAATGGATCCAATGAACCCCCATAACAAATTTGGTGAAGATCTATCTATACCCTGCGAAGTAGTTACATGGACGTTTATTATATTTATATAGATAAGACGTTGTGTGAGAAAGTGGACAGCAGTAGCCTTTAATAGTTGTTCAGGTAATATCTAGAGGTTACGGCCTCACCTATGTTGTAATGAGAATGACCAGATATATGGATAACCTATGTCACGCTGGGTGAATGAGAGATTTCCTGAATACTAATGGGACGTACTATATTGTTGCGTCAGCGAGGTCACGTGACTAGTATCACGCCACCTGTTTCTAGAAATATCCTGTTCCTTCAAGAATGCCCTAGCATTTACTAGATATGTGTTAGTCTTGTATATATATAAGACGTTCACAACGAGACGGAACAATAGGGGTAATGAGTAACTGAACTGCAGCCAGAGAGTGTGTAATTGAACGGAGTATTGTTGAAGTCGAGCTCGTGAGACGTGAGTTATAGCGTTTGTATAGAGCGACTGTTGAAATTAAGTGTATCGGTAAAGTTGTATTCAGAAATAATAAACCAGTTTTATTAAGAAAGGACTTGTGTCGCTAAAGTTTCGTCGGAACGAAGTTACGAAAAATTAACTAACGAACGGAGACGTAACAATATATTTTCCACTCCATTATTTATTTATTTTTAATCATGTTGTTTTCATAGTTTCTCTTTCAGACGTAGTTAGGTGTTCAAGTGAGTTACTAATTTTAACTTTCTCTAATTGGCAAATGGTGTTTTAGGTGAGAGACAAAACTAATTTATCTGGTTGTCCTACAGGAATAACAGAGCAGTTAATTAGAACAAACTATTCTTGTCCACGATTCACATAATAGCTTCTGGCAGTCTTGCCTTAAGCTTGTACACCTCCTGCTGGCCAACTTAGGTAACTCTTAAAGCTCTCGCATTAGTTCTACATAACAAGTTACTATTTTCTTTTATTCTACTCAACAAGAACTTTAAAGTCCTTGTGAAGTATTAAGCGTTCATCTTCCATAAATGAAGTGTTTAGCCTTAACGTTCATTCACATTCGCTTGTTAAAGCACGAGAAAGCTCTCACTTTAATTGTTGGTGTTCACATTTGCTGTAAGTAAACAAGTTTTTAGAGACTGCTTCACGTTAGGTGTGAAGCATCGTTAGTACTTAACTTAAGGTTTGTTTCTTTAGTATTTGCTATTGCTCTTGTTAAATTTATGGGGTGGAGAATACAAACAAGTAACAGCCTTATTTATAATAATAAAGCCTTCATTATAACTCTTACAATTATTGCACTTTACTCTCTAAAGCACATGTAATAAGTTGCCTTATTGTTTATTGTATTGTTGTTATTTCAATGGGTAGGTTCTTTTAAATTATTTAATGTAAATAATTAGAATTCCAAACTGGACTGTCCAATCCTCATAACAATAACAAATTGGTTTATTTCTTCCTTTACATTTCTACAAACTGTTTTTCCTTTACCGAGTTGTAACTTGTACTTTGTAGGTCTCAAGCTTACAAATGGCATTCAAATGGATACACCATTTATGCTAATTGTACTAATATAAAAATGAATTCACTTCTACAGTTTTACGGTTGATCATTCAAGTAACTTTGTTTATGTGATAACTAACTAACAGTGATAAAATACTTCTCTAAATTTAAATACTTCCCTGAACCAAACTGGCTGATTTATTCTACTAGCTAGAAACAACTCTACTATCTTCCAACAATTATGAACCTCATATTTATAACCTACCTCGAATTTACTAGAAACTTGGCGTCAAATCTATAGAACTTTCTAGGTGTTCTAAGTCTAACTTATTACACTTTTTGATTTTAACGTCATACGACTAGCAGCTTCCTCTAACTAACAAATAGAATATACAGCGTACAACAGTATTATGTTATTGTTCACTGTTTTGTATTATATGGTGAATACATCGTTAACCATTTGTTATTTGTGTCTTGTCTAAGGGGAGTAAATCTCAGAACCCAAGATCCCAGAAACTTCTGTTATTAGTAGCCATAACTTCTCTGCTCTGATAGTAGTCTGCGAGATACCACATGTTTTCAACCTGGTCGTTTGGATACAGAAGAGCCAATACAAACAATTGTTCAGTATAGGAACTCCAAATACACATGTCCTGTTTGTATTAAATTACAATCCATGAATTAGAAAAGGAGTACCACTGAAAGCTTGACCATTCACACAGATGATCTGTGTTGACCATTCACCCAGATGATCTGTGTTGACCATTCACCCAGATGATCTGTGTTGACCATTCACACAGATGATCTGTGTTGTTGGCGTGGTAGAGCTTAGTCTTCAAGAGGTCATTATTATATTCTCATAGACAAGTTTGTGTAATGGCTACCCAGCAAAATGATGTGGCATAAGTGTGAGAGACCTTACTGAGGCAGTTTCTGTGTCGATACAATATGAAGTAGTAACTTTGAGTCATTCACAGGAAAGGAAGAAGCCCGTGTAACAGCTGCAGTGATTTTACCTCAGACAGATCATCCTACCCAGATACTCATGTTGCACAAGCTATAAATCCAGATAAGGGTTAACCAACTACCCCCATATCCAGCATGTGATGTAGCCATGCTGGTATCCAGGGTTATCCCAGTCTTCCCAATGTGTATATGCCACAATACATGCTGACAGTGCCATTGCTCAAACATTGTTCTAGATGAGAGGAGGGAAGCACATGCTTTGTCTGTGGAAGGTTTGGCCACTTTTGACTGAACTGCCCGTTTCTTGCCATACAGCAAGTTATATATGCTATAATTCAACCAACAGCACAAGTTCAGAAAACTCAAAAGTGGGTAGTGAATATTGCATCTATAGTTCCAGAACACTAGAGGAACCCAAATCAAGTCTGGTCACAGATTTTGGCGAGAGCAACAAACGTCTTCGACTAAAAAAGTGTGATGATCAGCCCAGCTTCTTTAAGACTAAATGAGTCTTATATGCCTGTCGGTGTACTCGGATGGGAGATGGTGTTCATACAGGAGTGACAAAAAAAAACTGGTAATTTCCAGGTATACCAAATAATGCAAACACTCAAGCCTGTTTGTTTTTGAATTTCGCGCAAAGCTACACGAGGGCTATCTGCG